ACTTTCTACTGAAAGAATGTCAGTTTGACATAAATAGGGTATATTCAATATAGGATGCAACTGTATTATACATAACACAGATCATTTGAAATCATTCTAACTGTACCTTGAAGGTCAGAAGGCAACCACATTCCAACTTTACCTATTAACTAAGAAAAACCAGAAATCCAGGTCAACTGGACTACAATATAACTGAAAATTATTAATAAATAATTATTAACAAGGCTCAACAGTTATTAACAAGGCTCAATAACTGGTTCACTAAGACACAAGCAGAAATTCACACCTCCAAGAGAACATCTGATAATCCTCAAAAAATACTATGAAAAAATAATAATACTATGAACCTTCTTGTGTTTTGGGAATTGATCAAGTTAAATGCCAAACTTCAGTGTGACCTATTATCCTAAAATGTTTTATGTTTCTTTACTATTAAAAGGGAAAACATTAAAATTGGCCAGCCATTTAATAAAATTTACTGTATGAATAAAATATTTTAAAACTATTTAACCATATTTAGTATATAAAGTTAAATTTTATATATAGAAACATATTACACATATTGTGACACTTTGGACTTGAAATAAGTTGCATGTATGTAATACTATATAAGTAAAAAATATACATATGCAAAAATAGTAATATGTACTTCCCATTTAAAAATGAACTTTAAGGCCTGGGATTTAGCTCAGTGGTGCTGGCGCCTGCCTCACAAGCTCAAGGTCCTGAGTTCGATCCCTAGTATTAAAAAAAAAACAAAAAACCTTTAAAAGACCTAAAAATGTGATAGAAAAGTGAAATGAGATATTTTATAAATAGTATCATCATGTGCTATTTGTGTCACTAATACTAGAGAAAAAAGTTTCTAAATCAAACTTCACTTTCCTATTTACTTAGCATGTAATCTTATAGCTATCTGTGGATTAAAAAAAATTTTGGCCCAATAATAGTATTATACATAAGAATATGGCAACTTCTTTCTGAAGCTTTTACTGCTTTTAAAATTAGTATCCAATAAAATAATAGTACTACTTAAATCCATTAACTCTTACTGTGTTGCCACTCAAGAAGCATAGTTTGGGGCCAGGGATTTAGCTCAGTGGTTTCGCCACCTGCTGCGTAAGCGCAAGGACATGAGTTCAATCCCCGGTAACAAAAAAAAAAAAAGAAGCATCGTTTGCTTGCTTTTTGTGGTACTGGAGATTGAACCTGTACTTGGCAAGCGCTTCACCACAGAGCTACAACCCTGGTCCTTTTTGTTTTTATAATTTTCAGACAAGGTCTCACTAAGTTGTCCAACCTGGCCTCAAACTTGCAATCCTCCTGCCTCAGCCTCCTGAGTTGCTGGGATTATAAACACATGCCACCAAGCCTGGCTTCAAATATAGGCTTATATTCATGTTAAAAATCCAAGGCCACGAAAAAATGTTTTCAAGTTGCAACAGCAACATATAGTTGTAAATTTACCATAATAGAAAATCATGCCCACTTTGAAAATAACCACTGCAGGGAAGAAGACAGCAAAGTTAGACAACACAGAATAGAGGGCACACATAGAAGTGAGAGAAAAAGCAGAGGGGGGAGGTGCAGAAACATGTTCCATCACGTGGAAGAATTGATGCATATTTTGAGGGAGGAAAAAGGTCAGAGGAACAGTGACTTGACTATCCATCATGCCTTCTAGACAACAGAACCACGAAAAAGACAGCAAAATACAGACTTAGTACCTAAACACAGTTGGAAAACTTAAAACTATATGCCTAGGACAAAATCAACCAATAACAAACGCTGACAGGGGTGTGGAGAGAAAGGAACTCTTCTCCATTGTTGATGGGAATGTAGATTGGTGCAACCACTGTGGAAATCCGTATGGAGATACCGCAAAGAAGTAGGACTACAGGTCCCATTTGACCCAGCTATTCCCCTACTGGGAATCTTCCCCCCAAAATTAAAAGAATCATACCACAGCAATATATGTGCACCTATGTTTATAGTAGCACAGTTTGTAATAGCTAAGGTTTGGAAACAGCCCAAGTGCCCATTAACTGGAAACTGGATAAAGAAGATGTGGTTTTTCTATAAAATGGAGTACTACTCAGCCATAAAGAATGAGAAACTAGAGCCATTTACAGCTAAATGGATGCATATTGAGGCCATACTCTTAAGTGAAATAAATAGAACACACATGTGTAAATACCGAATAGTATCTCTAGTGTGAGAAACTGAAAGTGTAAATAAGGATGAAAATGATTAAAACGAATAACTGATAATTTGAAATAGGAAAAAGGTCCAAAGGGGTAGGGGTGGCAGGAGGGGAAGGGGAAAGAGAAGAAAGGAAAGGAAAAATTATGAGAAAGAAAAAAAAAATGGAAACAAAGTCTATGTAAATAGGGAAAGGTGGTGGGTGTGAAGGGCACATAGGTAATGGGGGAAAAAATAAGAACTAAGATACATCATGTTCAGGTACAAACACCCAGTGATAAATGTAAATGTATTGTATACCTAAAATGTACCGATTAATATATAAATTTTTTAAAAAGAGCTTATTAACAAGAAAAAAAAACTATATGCCTAGGAGAAATCATCATCTCAAAGTGTCAAAGAAGGGAGTACAGATAATGACAACTGCATTTCAACTCCAATCTTCTCATATAGATAATATCTGTTCCTCACTGATTACTCATGAAATTTTCAGACTCATGAAAGAGAATGGTAGGCCTTGGTTTTCCAAAATGAACATAGCAGAATAAAACCAAAGCAACCATCAGTTAAAGATAGTTATTCAATCAGTAAATTATTTGAGACCTATAGTAAGAAAATATTGCAAAGTGTTAGTGTTAATTTACATAGGTATAAAAAAGTATTCACATGAAGATACATCATATAAAGGTACAAGTACCCAATGAGAAATGTAAATGTATTGTATACCTAAAATGTACCAATAAAAGAATTTTTTTTAAAAAAGTATTCACATGAACATTTAAGACAAATTGCTAAAAAGTCAGGAACACAGTAATAAAACTTCAATAGCAAGACTACTCTTTGGACTCTAGAAGGCAAACTTGGTCTTTAGGAAAACTACACAAAAGTTACAGGAGTTAAAATTTAAGATGTTACAACAGCAGAGGTTCACAACCTTTCTTGGTTAATGACATCATTAGTATCTCAGTAATTTTTTTACATCACCCCCTAAACCAAAAGAAATAAATGACCACTCTGTTTAATACGTAGTATGTGAACAATTTAATAAGAGTTAATATAACACTAAAATAAGCATTAAAAAAGCACACAGGAAAAAAATCACATAGGTTGAAAGAAATATTTTACTTCATTTTTAAATAACCAAAACAAATTATTAATTGGCATGTATGCATCATGTACACTGTACAATTTCTCAAACCTTGAAATCAGATTAGACACCATCAGGGCCGGGGATTTAGCTCAGTGGTGCCACGCCTGTCTTGCAAGTGCAAGGTTCTGAGTGTGACCCCCAGTGCCACAAAAAAAGACAGGTTAGATACCATCACTCACCTTCATTTCCTGTCCCACACTAATTTTGTATAGTATTTGGTGTTTATCACAACAACCTCAGAAAAAACAGATTCACAAAGGTATGATGCCACAGAAAAATATGTAATACCACTTAACAATGTTGAAACTGTGTTTGTCTTCAGGTTAATTTTCTATAACATATCCAACAAAGGTAAAATACCACTATGTTTGCCTCCAAAAATTTAAATATCTATGGTTCTCCTATGCCTTCGTTGTGGCACAGCAGAGTACCTGCATACCCAGTTTGGGAACCCAGCACTCTAGTTTTATGTTCCAGCAACTATACAAACTATTCATTATTTTAATTATTTATAAATAAAATTAACTACAATGCTTTTAAAGATCCCATAATTATTTTCCTATACTATTTGGGAAACCTGTTTTTCTCTTGAACAATAAGAGGAACACTAATAAATCCTTATAGAAAGAAATTTTTTTCAATTTGAAGATGATTATTGCCTTAATGTGATTATTTTTATAGATCTTGTCTTGTGTTAAACTTGGTAAACTATGGAAAGAAGAAAAACAGAAAATTAATTTTTTATTCCCTTCGAAGCAACAATTTCTCTGATGTCTAAATACTGCAAATTGGGCTGGGAATTTAGCTCAGTGGCACCGTGCCTGCAATCAGAAGGTCCTGAGTTCGAACCCTGGTACCAATAAATAAATAAATAAATACATACATACATACTGCAAATTGATCCAGTCTCATTGCTTTGCAGTCTCACTGATGCAGTACTGAATAGCACAAGTTTAGGAGTCAAATAAGTCTGAAAGTCTTAAGAGCTCAAGAACATGGGTATCAGGCCGGGGATTTAGCTCAGCGCAAAGCACAAGGACCCAAGTTCAATCCCCGGTACCAAAAAAAAAAAAAAAAAAAAAAGAACATGGGTATTAATGTTGGTATTAGAAGAACAGGGCTGTAAATTACTATAAACAGACTGTGTGACAACTTTTCTCACTTACAAAGTCCTTTGTTTAAACAGAACAGTGGAAAAGGGACAAAGGAAGGAATTCAATTGGATAATCTCAGTTTTTGCTTTATAAAATCTATGCCATTAGCAAATGTTATCAAGTTCAACTGGAAGGATGTGGTAAGAATAACTAGCTAAGTTTTTTTTTTAAAGCTATCCAAACAATAACTGGGAAAGAAAATCAATGTTCTATTACTTTAAAGCAGTGATGGTGAAACTTTTAGAGTTTTCAATGATAACAAACAGCCCCCTGTAGCACATGTGCCATAGGTTCACCACCACTGCTTTAAAGAATTTTCAAAATCATAAGCAGAAAATATTGTGGCCTGTTTAAAAAAATAAAGATGACTGCTAAATAACTATAATCCCAAAAATTTGTATCTAGAAAAATAAAAATGAAAATACATATAGTTAATTATCAAGAAAAGAATGATTAAGAGCTATGACAAACTATAGAGTCACATTAATACTCACCTGCTGAATGATTCTGGAAGTTTTCTGAAGGTTCTCTCTGGGTGGGACTTTACCAAATAATTTCCAACCAGGAGCACTATGAACAACTGATTTGAGTTCCTTTGTCCTTAGAAAAAGATTTCTGAAACACAGAAAAGTTACATGATTGTATTATTTATAACCAGTGAGCTATCACATAGTAATTTTTATATCAAATTATTTTATTACAATCCCCTTTGGTAAGTATTATAACCTAATTCACTGTAAGCCAATGGCAAAACAAATATTCCTAAATTGCTCTTTATATTGCAGGGTGTTGACAAAAGTGTCTACTGTAACCATCATTTATTGTAAGCTCTCTGTTTTCCAGGTCACGGCAATGCATTATCCCATGTCCTGCACACGCCACTAATGATCACTTGTATCTTGTCTCACTGTATGGAAAATGAAACTCCAGTTTGTAAGCATTATACACTTTGCTAGAATAACCAAGTGAGGAGCACAGGTAGAATTCTGTATCCGACAGTTCCACTATATGATCCAGGCATGCTGTTGCATGCCTAGAATCCCAGCACTCAAAGTGGCTGCGGCAAGAGATCGCAAGTTCAGGTCCTACTTGGCCAACTCAATGAGAACCTGTCACAAAATTTTAAAAAATAAATAAAAAGAGCTGGAGGTGCAACTCAGTGTGAAGGCCTTAGGTTCAATCCCTGGTACTGAAAAAAAAACAAAAACCTGTATGACTTCAGAATCATATAGTTGTAAGAAAAGAAGTCTGTTGCACAATGTACAATTTCTCAAAACCTTGAAGTCAGATCTTTATATCGTTCAGGCTGGCCTTGAATTCGCCATGTAGCCCAGGGTGGCCTCAAACCAATGATCAGCCTGCCTCAGCCTCCAGAGTGCTGGGATAACAGGTGTGCAATACCACACCCAGCTGAATTTATTGTCTCTTAAACCCATATTCATCCTTCAATATATGCTTTATGGTAAAAAGAACTGCTTTGAGCATTACCCCTTTAAAATAACATTAGCGTATTTAGCTTTCTCAATAGAGAACACTGAAGGGATACTGAAGGAGAAAGGGGCTCTCTATTGTTTTGAGCTGCGGCAGTCAGTGGTATGGGCATGAAAACATGTTCAGCCACATGTCCAGACTGTGTAGTCCCTCAGCAAACTTGCAGCCTAAGCTTAGAGAAGGCTTTCCCAAAGCCCTCTCAGCATGGAAACATCCCACCAAAAGCCTCCTGACAGTACCAATGTTTCAATTCTCTCTGTAAGTTCCACACAGCAAACCTGTCACCTGCTCCTAGACAGTTCTCACAAAGCCATTTCTCCTACAAGTTCCTATTCAACCTGCCTGCACCTGGGAGGTCTCCCATCCATGTTAAAAACGTATGAGAAAATCTTTGTTGCCATGGTTCATGAAAAGAATTATTGAATAGGACACCAAAAGCATGAACCATAAAAGGAAAGAAATTATGAAACAAGTGCAATCAAATTTAAAACATTTGCACTTCAAAAGAAATCACTGATACAGGGCCGGGGAAGCTGCCTGCCTTGAAAGCGCAAGGTCCCGGTACCAAAAAAAAAAAGAATTACCACTTAGTCTATGGTATTTTGTTATGGCAGCCCTAGCAAAGTAATATAAAATACAACAGAATATTAATGAACCACAAAAAGGAAAAATGTTCGGAACACCCTACAATCTGGATGAACCTTGAAAACACTGTGCTAAGTCAAATGATCCAGATACAAAGAATCTAGTATTGTTTAATTCTCTTCAAGTGAAGTACCCAGAACAGGCAATTCATGGAAACAGAAGTAGAACAGTTGTTACTAGGAGCTAGAGAGAAAGATTGAGGAGTTTTTGCTTAATTATTACAGAATTTCTGTGTGATGAAAAGTTCAATAAGTAGATAATCATGATGGTATAATACACTATGAAGATATCTAGTGGTACTGAATTCTACAACTGTGCATAACTAAAATGGCAAGTTTTACACTATATTTAATAAAAATTTTATTTATTTACTTATTTATTTTGCAAACAAGATCTCATTATGTTGCCCAGGCAGGTCCAACTCCTGGGTTCAAATGACCCTCCTGCTTCTCTGAGGAGCTGGGACTACAGGTGCATGTCACTATGCCCAGCTAACACAATTCTAAAAAAATACAACAAGAACACTTAAAGATAAGCCAAAGATTAAGATAAAACACTTGTATCATATATATTTGAGAAAAAACTTCTACTCCAACAATACAAAGAACTATTACAGTTCAATAATAAAATCTTTCTTAAAAGCAAAAGATTTGAATAGACATATTAAAACTAATAAGCTATATGAAAAGATGCTCAGTAACAAAATCATTACAGATATGCAAACCTAAACCACAATAAGATAACACTTCATACCCTCAAGGAGAGCTACAATAAAAAACACAGGCAATAACAAATGTGGAGATATTAGAACCTCATACATTGCTAATTATAATGTTAAAAAGAGTGCAGCCATCAAGGCCATACTGTTAAGTGAAATAAAGAGGATACATGTGTAAATACCAAATAGTTTCTCTGGTGTGAGAAACTGAAAGTGTAAATAAGGATCAAAATGAATAATTGATAATGTTAAATAGGAAGAAAAGGTCTAAAGGGGTAGGGGAAGTGGGAGGGATAGGGGAAAGAAAAGAAGGGAGGCCGGGGATTTAGCTCAGTGGTTCCAGCACCTGCTTTGCAAGTGCAAGGTCCCGAGTTCATTCCCCGGTACCAAAAAAAAAAAACTAAAAAAAAAAAAAAAACCAAAAAAAAGAAGGGAAAAGAAAAAATATGAGAAAAGTAAAAAATGGAAACAAAGTCTTTGTAAATAGGGAAGGGTGGAGGGGTTGAAGGGAGGGCAAGGGAAGGGGAAAAAAATAAGAACCAAGATACATCATGTACAGGTACAAGTTCCCAATGATGAATGTAACTGTATTGTATACCTAAAATGTACCGATAAACTTAATGAAAACAAAAAAAGTTCAGCCATTTTGAAAACAACTTAGAAGGTTTTTAAAGTTTTGTTTTGTTTTTGTACCGGATATCGAACTCAGGACCTTGCTCTTGCGAGGCAGGCAGTGGCACCCCTAAGCTAAATCCCTGGTCCTGGTGGTTTTTTAAAACTGTGTAAAACTCAGGCCGGGGATTTAGCTCAGGGGTTCCGGCCCCTGCCTCACAAGCGCAAGGTCCCTAGTTCAATCCTGGGAACCAAAAAAAAAAAAAAAGTGTAAAACTCAGCAATTCTATGTCTAGGTGTCTACTCAAAACAAATGAAAACGGGTTCACACAAAGATTTTAACAAGAGTATTAATAACAGCTTTGTTCATAACAGAGCAAATGTGAAGACAAACCAAATAGCCATCAATTATTAATGTGTCAACAAAATGTGATACAATATATCCACCCAATAAAATAGTATTCAGCAACAAAAAGGAACAAAACAACTGATACATGTATGCTAGGACATGTATGAACTCAAAAATTTATGCTAAATGAAAGAAACCAGATATATACAACCATATATACAACGATATAGAATTATATATATTGTATAATTCTACTTACATGAATTATTCAGGAAAGGCTAATGTGTAGAGATATAAACTAGATCAGTGGTTGCCTTGGGCTGAGGGTGGGAAAGGGGATTTGACTACACATTGGCCTAAGGCAATGATGGTGAACTTTTAAAGGTTTCAATGATAAACAGCTGCAGCACATGTGCCATTAAGTTCATCACCAGTCACCACTGGTTTAAGGGATCTGTTTCATGTGATTTTGGCACAACTTTATAGAGATACTAGCAATCGATGAATTATACATTTTAAATGGGTGCATTTTATGATACATAAATACAATTTTAACAAAACTTCAGACTATAAAAGATGTTTGACAGATCATCAGAGACAATGAACAATGCCCAAAGCTGGTCTTTCATCAAGTTCAGCAAAATAAAAAAACTTCCAATGTGATTTATCAAAAAAAGATAGCAATAAATAAAATGAGGAATAAAGAGAAGAAAATAAAATCAGATACAACAAAAATCTTAAAAACAAGAGAATATTACAAATAGATCTTTGGTAATAATTTAGAACATTTTGATATAATAGCCAGATTTATTTTAAAAAAAGAAAGAAAATACAACTTACCAAACAAAAGAAATAGAAAACGTCAATAGTCCCAAAACATTTTAACAACTAAAGTAATGATTAAAATCTAAACTACAAAAAAATTGGGCATAAAATTATTATATGAAATACTCCACAAAATTTTCAAAATATAGATTATGCCAATATTGTATAAGCTATTTTAAAAAATAAAAAAAAAATTTGCTACCCCAATTTGTGAGGCCAATATGAACTAAACAGCAAAACCAGACAAGAATGACATATGACAGTAAAACTGCAGACCAATTGAACTCATGAACATAAAAGTGAAAATCTTAAAACAAAATATTAGCAAACTAAATACAATCATAGATAGATTTGTCTCAGAAATGTAAGTGTCAAAAATTAGAAAATATTTAATGTTAATCAATGTATTAGCATATTAAATGTTATTCAATGTTAACAGAAAAACTATTATATATTCATATAATTTAATGCACTAGCATATTAAATGTTACTGAATACACAGAAAAACTATATGATTAGCTCAAAACAATCAGAAAAAAGGTAAAATTAAACACTTCATTTATGATAGCAACTGTTAAGAGAACCAGAAAAAAATTTCCTTATCTTGATAAAGAACACTTACCAAAAACCTATAGTACATGTCATTCTTGATAAAATACCAGAAACATATTCTTTTGAAATGAGGAACAAGACAAGGATGCCACCATCCCCATCTCTACTCAACATTCTATTGAAGGTTTCATCTAGTGCAATAGGGCAATAAAGAGAAATAAAAGGTAGGAGTACTGGAAAGGCAGAAGCAGAAGTCATTATTCACAGTCATGAAAATCAACAATAAAAAAATCAAAAATCTACTATCAAATTATTAGAAATAAAGAGTTCAGCAAATGGTTGATTATAAGATTTTTTAAAATTTGTACCCATCAACAAGTGCTAGAAACTTAAAACTTTGAAAGAGATACAATGACAACAACA